CTTTGTCTATTTTTAAAAATATTTTCTTATTATTTTTAAATTTAATTTTTTAGTATGTAATAATATTTTTAATGTAATTTCTAAATATATCTTAGGAGCCTTATTTTAAAGATTGTGTTCATTTAAATTGGACTTTTGATAGCATTACATACTATTAAGCATGTTTGTAAATCAGCGGATCAAGTAGTCAATTTCTTGCTCGTGTGTCTAGTTTAAGCAATTGTTATTCTTTCCAACTTTCACCTCTAAACCAGTTGAGCTGTCCATGCGGACCTAAGCAATTGTTATACCAATAGTTATTATGTGGACAGTGGTCCACACAGCTACGCTCTAAAAATAATGTTGTTGTGTATTTTTTTTTTTTTATTTTTTACGTGACCCACTGCAACATATATTTCTATAACTCATGATGTACATTATTCTAAAGCATAATGTACATTATATTACTCCAGAAGTTTCATTATTCTAACACGTAATGTACATTATTCTAACACATAATGTACATTATTCTTACGCATAATATTTAACGACGTTGTTTTGGAACTGTGTGGATTTCGATCCATACAATAATTTGCTATTGTTATACCATGGACCCTGATTTAAAAATTATGTGTCTGCAGTTAATATATTATGTGCATTCAATTAATAAAGTATGTACTTGTAAATAAATTGAACGTACATAATATATTAACAGTTAACTATAGGCACATAATATGTTATATGCATATTATGTGCTTGCAGTTAACATATTATATGTTTGTAGTTAACCTATTATGTGTCTGTAGTTAACATATTATGTTCCTTTAATTTATTTACATGCATACAATTTGTTACCTATAGATACATAATATGTTAATTGTAGTCATATAATTTAAATGTTATTTTAGATTAGGGTCCACAATGCAAAATGCATCCTAGTTTATGGTATAATTTGCCTAGTTCAGGGATTTGGATTTCCTCTACTCCTGGATATGACATGTTTTTGAATTTTTGTTTGTTTGTTTGTTTGTTTTTTAAAAATTTAGGTGATCTCAATTTTATCAGACTAATTCTAAATTTATAAAATTTACTTTTAGAGTTATTACAGAGGTAAATTACGAATCACGCAATTAACTCACCAGTGAAAACAAAGTTGACAGACACGCATGTGAAGATGGATGGACCAAACCGCGGTGCTGTCTGTCTGTCTCCGACCTTTATCTAAATCTTAGGTTAGACCCACTTCAATTCTTCCATAAGGATTGTCTGATTTATGTACACACAATTTTTAAAAATATTATATAAAATATATATATTTTTTTAAAGACGTGGAATTGTGGTTGGATATTGATGTCGAAACAATCATGTAACTATATATATATTTTTTTTTTGAAAGTTAACTATATTTGATTATACTAAATAATATCATAATTGATTTCATCAATATATGCTTTGAGAGAGTAATACATTGCTCCAACTAATTTTTGAACAACTTTAATTTTTAAATAATTTGTTGTTGGATTGATAAAAATGGAAGCTTTAAGCTTTCTAGTGCATAAAGGGGAGAAGTTTATAGAAGAAAGGGGGGATTTTTCAGAGCAGAAATAGTGGAAAAATATATGGAGAAATATAGAGAAAAATAATACAATACATAACATCAAATAATTAAGGTTGTGCATAATTAAATAGTTGCTTTAATTACCCATGCATGAGATTGTGGGTGAAATGACATGTCTCTTCTAATTTAACTAGATGTTTTAAGAGAGTGTGACCACCTGAGCTCTTTTATCCTGACATGAACAGGATTTTGATATGATGCGTAGTCCTGATCGAATTGAAAAAATATGTAATAAAAAAATAGTTTCTTTAATTTTGATTGTATTCTAAGAACTAAGAGCAATCCCCTCCCCCCAAAAAAAAAAGGAAAAAACAAACAAAAGGAGTTAGTGACCACCCTCAATGTGCTGAGCTGGCATGTGCATGTAATGCACAACAAGCCCTATTAGTGACCACCCTCAAGACTCCTCCCGCTACAAGAACTCCTATATTCTCTCCCTCCATCTCATTCAAAAAAACACCCAAAAAATTCAATAATTGGACTTGCTCTAAATAATTCTGTGTTAAAATTCTATTCTAATATTATAAAATTGTGTAATACTATTCCTATTCTAATCTATATCTATACTATATATCAATGTTGCAAAAATCGCGCCGCTGGCCGCTGCGATGAAGGCCGGAATCGTCCTCTTCCGCGGCCACCTCGCCGGGTGATCCAACGATTAATTTTTTTTTTTTTTTTTAAAGTTGTAATGTGTCAAAACTTCGGCACGACATAAGTGGTAATAATAATATCTAAAAGTAATTAAGTGTTAATAATAATAGTAAGAATATTAACTTAAGAATTATAACATAGAGTAAATCGTAATAATTAATAACTATAGTCTAGGATTAAATTTGAAATTGTCAGGAAAGATAAACGACCTCTGGTGAAATTAACTCTTAAATAATTATATATCGATTTAAATATTCTTAATATATTACTATAATTCCATTCTGTGCATCGCACGGGTGAAAATACTAGTTATTCATAAGAAAATCATATGTTTCCTAATTCTATTATAGAAAATGCATGCCCTTTATTTCCCTCCTAAAGTTCACCTCCAATATTTTTCCTCCTAATGTGACATTAATTTATTGGGTGTCATGAATTAATTGACTCAATTACTAATTCAAAATAGAATTTAACTACCAATGAGATGAGATAGATGTTGTCACACAATAAATGATGAATTTGAAAAAAAAAAAAAGATTAAGGTCTCTAGCATTACTCACGGAGTATTATTTATTTACAGAATTGACACTAATGTTCCTTTTATATATGTACTAGTTTTTTACGCGCATTGCGCGATTGGGATAATGCCCAATATTTTTTTTAAAATAAGTATTTTAAAGTATATCAAGACAAGATTATATTGAAATTGTTCATGCATAGATAATTGAATGTTGAATTTGCGTATTTAAATTCGTAATTCTAAGTTTACAAATGCAAGATAATATAATCAAGATTGATTATAATTGTCAATAAAATAATTATATGGGTATGGTTGACACCAAATACGGGATATAAGGGAGAGCAAATAAAAATTAAAGCATAAAATATTAAATATATACTAATATTGTTTGAGGAGATTCCGGCAGTAGGAGCGTTATGTTGTGAGCACGTGCCCACCTTGCAAGGTGGGCACAGTTCCATATCCATAATTTCTATACTGTAGATCCATAATTTCTATACTTTAGATTCATAATTTCTAAACCATAGATTCATAATTTAAATACAGTAGATTCATAATTTCTATACTACAGATTCATAATATCTGTACTGTAGATTCATAATTTCTATACTGTTAATTCATAATTTCTAAACTGTTTAGTTATCAATTATGAACATATAGTTCTCTGATTCGTGAAAACAGAGTTCAACAATTGGAATCTAAAGTATAAATTTTATGAATCTACAGTATAGAAATTATTGATCCATAGTATAGAAATTATGAATCTACACTATAGAAATTATGGATATTGAACCGTGCCCACCTTGCAAGGTGGGCACGTGCTCAAAGCATAATTTGCCGGATTTGTGGTTAGAGTTCTATTAAGACTTTACACGGACTGTCAAACACTACAGACATATATGTCCTCTACGGAGACTCGGTCTCGATCCTATCTTGGTTATGCACTGGATGCTTGCAAAGCTTATATGGCTACGTTTACTTATTGCTCAGTTAATTTTATTCCTAGATCGCATAATTATTTAGCGCATACTTTAGCTTCTGATGCTTTTAATTTTGATTTGCCTATGTACTGGATGCTATCCCACCAGACTCAGTTTCTTGTTATCTATAAATGCAACCACAATGGTTTCCTAAAAAAAAAAGACTTTAATATTAGAATTAGATTAATGTTGTAGTTATAATTCTATATTAGACTTTAATATTAGAATTAGACCAACGGTGAATTAACGGTACTTAATGAAAAAGTTAACGGATTGAATCATTATATAATTAAGGATAAATTAGGAAATCTCAAGGAAAAATAATCTGAACAATTGAACTATTCATTTGATTTAATAATTTGACGGTAATTTTTTCTACCTAATGTTTATAATTAAATAAATATTTGAAAGTATATAAATGCAAGATTATATATGAATTCATCAATTGATTATATATGCAAAAAATAGTGCACGAAAAGTATAATAGACAATGTAATGCATATGATCAATTGATGAATTTGAATGTAAAGAATATTTACATCGGAGAAAAATAACGACAATATACTAATGAAATTATTTCTCTTAATTAATTTATTGATAATGAATAATTTTTTTAATAAAGACAATGTAGTGAACATAATCAATTGATGAATTTGAATTTTGAATGTAAAGATTTTTTATATTGGAGAAAAATAAAGACAATATATGTAATGAAATTAATTCTCTTATTTAATTTATTGATAATGAATAATTTTATTTATTTTTTGAATAAAGCCATTGTATAGACACATAATTCTAAATTAAAGAAATGCATATGTATTATTTTTTGTTGTAGCTACTAAATTATTATTTTAATTTAATAAAAGTAAAATAGAGTACTAATTATGCCAACTTTGATTGGAATGGGTTCGAACCTAAGACCTTTTTCATTGAAATCAATATGTAAGTTAACGGTGAACTAACAGAAAAGATAATATTTAACGGAAAAGTTAACGGATAATCATATTCATTAAGGATAAATTAGGAAATCTCAAGGAAAAATTAAAATTTGATCAATTTGAGCCATGCATTTGATTAAAAAATTTGACCGCCATTTTTTCTACCCATTATAGGCCTAACTCTCTTGGACTCTTATTAGTATAGTACATTTCAATCTGAGTACGTATGCTAGAAGCACACTTATTTAAATGCCAAAAACATTTTTTTAAAGAACATGAAAGATGACATTTAAAAAATAGATTGTGCCAGATACATACAGATCTGCTGCTTGTTTTTATATATGAAGATATTGAAGGTAGCATAAATTAGGGCAAAAATGATGACATCTTTACCCTACAGGAGATCTCATAACCCTAACAAACGCATCTTCTTCTTCCCCAATCTCCATTAGAATATACCCACAAAATCTCACATAGGTCAAGCTCGATCTGGAATGGATAATCTCTGGGAGAACTTGATCTTCCCCTCCATTGAGTATAATTATTATCTGGGCGATCATCCACAACTACTCCACTACCAGATCCCCTCGCAACAACCAAATGATTATCGTCTCATCAACAAAATTACGTCATAGAAGATCCGACCAGCTGGAATCCCAACCTTGATAATATTAATGATTCTGGTAAGAGCTTTAAGAAGAAGAGGAAGAGAAGGGAGATGAAGCTGCAGAGTGGTGATGGTTATGATGATAGTTGCAGAAGGGCTTTGCATAGAGATGTGGAGAAGCGAAGGAGGAATCAAATGGCTAATCTTTATGAATCTCTTAGGTCCCTTCTTCCTCTTCAATACATCAAGGTAGTGTGGAGAAACCCTACTTTAATTTTTCTTCCCTCCCTCTTCATATTTTCCCAGTTTTCTTCTGCTAAATACTACTACTACAGAAATAACATATAACATGTCTCACATATAATGTCATTTTATTTCAAATTGACGTGAAATGTCAATAAATTAAATAAAAATAATATATATTATTTTTTACGTTATATGTTTTTTTTTTTTTGAATTGAGCATTTAACGTCAATTCTAGTAAAAAAAAAAGTATACATATAATGTCGTATCTTTTTTATTTTGTTATTTTTAAAATTTTAAAAATGACATACCACGTCATATCATTTATTTACTACGTACTATACATTGTCATTTGGAGAGAACTACGTCGCAAATGACCGATATTGTATGTCAAAAATAGCCGAAGTTAAAAATGTTGTCAGTAGTAATCAAGTCCTAATCTAGTTAAAAAAAAAAAAAAAAAAAGAAAAGCTAACATACTGAAACACAAAAAATCAATAACGCCTCCACTAAGGCTCAAACTCACAACTTTTCATCAAATAGAAATCCAACCCGAATACCATTAGACCACATAGTCTTGATAGAACGGGTTGAGTTAAAATATTCATATCTCAATTTTGGTGTCATTCCAATCGAGTTCGTTTGTTACCATATTTGAGACTCGTATGCACCTAAAACTCCTAAACCTTAAACCGAAAACTCTATGAGCGACTTTTTTTTTTTTTTTTTTTAGAACGGAATTAAAACTTATAGAAGTCTCTAAGTGGATTGAAATGTCCATAACTCACTTTCCGACTTTGTTTGTTACCATATTTGGGGTCACTTGCATGAGAATAATGACTTTGATACCAAATTGAAACATGTAATCTCAACTAACAGGGCGTTTGGTTGGAGGGATTTTAAATTCCCTTCCCACTTAATTCCCACCTAATTTCAAAGGCCATTAAATTCCGTAGTTTGGTTGGAGGGAATTGCAATTCCCCCATTTTCATGGAATTAAAATCTCATGTCCCCCCTGGTATTTTAATTCCTGAGAAAAAAAGATAGTGATGAGTCAAAATTATCCCTTCCTTTTTTAACCTAAAATTAATGTCTAACAACAATAATGGACATTTTTAACTTTATACCACTTATTCCCTTTCAATTCTCATGTATACCAAACATTGGAATTGAAATTCCCAGTAATTTTATTCCTGTCAACCAAACACTGGCATTTAAACTCCCACTTTATTCCCAGTAATTCAACTCCCATGGAATTACAATTCCTTTCCCACATAATTCCCCCCGTCCAACCAAATGCCCTGTAAAAGTTTAAAGTGATACTTGGACTGCACATTTATGTTTAGGAAAACTCTCTTACCCCTACCTCCTAATTTTTCCTCTCCTAAATTTCCTCCATAACATATGGCTTCTAATTATTGGGTGCAATGAATTGACTGTCCCACTAACTTTTAATAAAAAAGTAAAGTAATCAATCAAATAATGTCATGTCAGGAGGCCGAGAAAATAATGAGAAAATTTTTAAGGGCCGGGTGAGTAGCATTACTCTTTATGTTTATATATTATATGTTTAACACACCATATTAGGTGAAACTCCAACAACTATATGGATGGGTTCGATCCTGTGTCAATTAAATCTCGAACTTTAGCAAAATAGTTTATAGTTTATGTCAAAGCCACACATTTATGATGCACGAAAACTCTCACAGGAAGCATTTTTACATTTTCAACTTCTCTATTTTCCTTTATATATGTACTACTTAGATGAGCAATGAATTTTGGTTAAATTCATATATATATATATATATATATATGAATGATATGATGATGATATGTAGGGAAAGCGGTCGGCATCAGATCACATGCAAGCATCAGTGAGCTACATAAAAGAGCTGGAGAAGAAGGTTGAAGGGCTTCATAAGCAAAAGATGATGATGAAGACATCATCAAACATGGTTGCAGTAGTGGAGAAAAGTGTGGAAGAAAATGAAGCGAAAAGCGCAAAGTGGTGTTGGGCTAATGATACTTCTGTGGCGGTGAATAAGTGTGAAGATGGGGTGGAGATTTTGATGAACACTCGCCGCGCCGCCGCCACCGGCGGCGGCGGCGTAGCTTATCCGCTCTCCAAACTGCTGGAGACACTGCTCCGGCAAGGCCTGAACGTCGTTAACTGTTGTTATTCTCACCAGGAGGATAGGTCGTTGCTCAGGATTCAATCTCAGGTACTTAATTAACTTTAATGTTAGGTGCACTAAATATTATTGTTAGTGCATTACATTACACTTGCACTTCAAAGTTCGAATTATTTACAAAAATATCAATCACATTTTTCTAAAAAAAAAATTATATATGATCCGTTAGGTCGTCTTTCAAAATAGACGACTATGATTGATTTCTTATTTCTAGTTCTCCTCTACGCGTTTGTTCTCATCTTAACGTTGTCCATATATATATATTTATGTATTTATCTATTAATTGTTTATAATACATTATATACATACTCATTAACCAAGACTATGTTGTCTAATGGTACTCAGATTGAATTTTCTTTTAAAAGATTATGAGTTCGAGTCTCACTGGAGGCGTGTTTCAGTAGGTTGAGAAAGTATATGAACTTGTAATAGAGCCAGGTCAAGTTGATCACATTGTGAATGTCAAAAAGGCTGGACTAAAAGATTTTAATTTTTAAATATTTATTTTTAAAAAGAAATTATAACTAAAAGATTTTAAGTTCTAAATATTTATTTTTTATTTTACTTATCATCATCATCATCATCATTATTATTATTATTATTATTATTATTATTATTATTATTATTATTATTATTCATGAATAATATAATAATATACTAGTTGCTGCAGGTAAATGGATGGTCTGATGTAGATGTAGCAGCACTGCAACAGAAAGTAGTTGATGTGGTTATTAAGCCCCATTAATTTGGCAACCATACCTATATATAGTATATGCATGCATAGATGTTGTGGCTGGCTAGTTTCATTGTATTGTAGCTAAAAAAAAAAAAAAAAAGCAAATCAATCTTTGTTCCAAACTTATCCAACACATGTATTTTTATATTAACATTCAATAGTTCTTTACTTCTTTCACTTAATTACTATCGAATGTTAATATAAATTAAAGAAAGATCATATCAGAGTTGGTATGCAATAAGTTATTATCATAATACAAATAAGAAGTTTATATTTATGTGCTAATAAAATTAATTTGTATTTGATATCACATAACAATCACTTTTTATCCACTATTAACGATGATTGTTTAAAAAGTTTTTTAAAAAAATATAATACTTTAAATCTTTGTTATTATATAGTGGTCGAAAATTAATAATATTTTAACCGTAGATGCATGTAAAGCTCTTTTTTTTTTAGGGGGTCCTAATCATGCATGCACTTACTAGGTAATGTAGAATTCTTAGGGATTAGCATAGACTTGAGGACTATATACATGCTACAGGGATTAAAACATGTTAATATTGTTGTAATTTGGCCTTCGATTAGCTCAAGTCTATTGGGATAATAGTACGATATTAATAATGTAAGTAGGTTTGTTACAAAATAATAAAATATATAGAATAGAGAAGTAGAGAGAAAAAAAAAAAAGTACACATCTTATTAATTCGGCCTTCAACATGTATATATATACAATCTAATAACCCAGCACAAAGAGAAAAAAATCTCGCTAGAAAATTTCAGTGTGAAACTAGACAAGAAAAAGAGTACATGAAATACATTAAAACCTTAGCTTAAGAAAATCCGGTGGAAAAAAAACTTAACTAAGAAAAAAAAAATGCAACCATATGCGACCTTCAATTTAGAGCATAATCTTCTAGATTTTAAGGGTATTCAGGACTATCCACTCAAATACACCTATATCAATTGTCTCATTAAAAACCTTAACCTAAGAAGAAAATTATGTGGAAAAAAACTTAGCTGGAAAAAAGAGCACAATCATATCCTTTCATAGCATAATAGAAAACAACCTTCCAAATCTATTCATCCCTCTAAAGACAACAATCTTCTAAGCCTATGCATCCCAAATTTATAAACATATTACTCAACCTCTAAAGATAACAATAACAATCTTCCAAGCCTATGCATCCCAAATTTATAAATATATTACTCAAAAGTGAATATAGACAGAGATTTAGAAAACACATTTTTAAATTCTCATTTTATTCTTTTCCCATCTAATTCCCTCCAAACAGTCATATCACACCTCCCAGCCAAGATTAGTAACATGTATGGTTAGGAGTGAGACAATCATTTGTTTACAAAAAAAAGTAGTTACGAAATTATAAGCATCACGAATTCAGAATTCTAAGACATAATAAACATCAGCAAAAATTAATGGTGGTACTGTCTTCGTGTCTCTTTCTTCTTGTTTACACTGACTGATAAGGGGATGGGATGGGATGAAATGGCAAGGTGTTGTGCAACAGGTTTTCATATATCAAAAAACTCCACAAAGAATCACATGCCAAAGTTGTTTATTGGGGAGCATTATGCATGTCTAACACAGCACAGCACAGCTTCAACACCACCCATCCACTTCACTTCAGGCAACTCTATGCGTCTTCAAAATTTGGAAACACAAAATGAATTCTCGTTTCCCCACCTGTGTATGTTACAAGGTATCAAGGATCATAATACAAAAAGCTCGTTCATTGTAGTCTGGACATGACTTTCCCAAAACTTCGGTTGTTGGATACCAACTCCAATTCACGAATGCCCGCACTTTTACTTGAGCTGCTCTCCTTTAAGCTCTTTGTGTAGTATTCCATGGAACAGTGTACTAAACAAGCAAGACTCATTGTATCTTGAAAATGTTCTTCAGTTTCACAAGCAGCCTCCACTCTTCAACAGTCAGATCTTTCTGTAAAATTTTAAAAGAGAGAGATTGAGTCTCTTAGCATGCTTTGGAAAACATGTGCCACCAGAAGATAGGGCAATTTCTCCAAGTGAAAAGCTGGAATTACATACCCTGAAATTTTCTTTGAGTATGTCAATTGATCTCCTTGAAATTTTGCTAATGAGCTCGTCATCCGCATCGAAGTGCCTGCCAAACATCTTCTGTTGCTCTTCAGAATTGGATCCAACTATCTGTTAAATGTATACAAGAATTGAGTAAGGTTAAATAAGAGTACATTTTCACAGAACTTCCCTTGTTACTTAACAAGAACCTAGACGAATCATACAAAAAATTGACATGTGACTGGTTTTAAGAGCCAACAAAATAATAGCAACCATCACAAGTATATCAGGTTTTTGGGATGTATGAAGGATCATTAAAGGAGTAAGATCCCGCCCTTATCATCTAGGGTGAGAAGAAGTAAAAGATTCATCAGACAATTGCACTATCACAAATTGAGGATTCATACCTTAATGGCAACCATTTGTCCTTTCTTTCCATAATCAACAGGCTTATGGTTGTTCTCAATTGATGCAATGCGACCAATATCAATGAACTCCTTTGACGGAATACAAAGGGGAGTTCCAATCTGTTTGTATAGGGTTTCAAACAATGAAGCAACACAGTGAGAAGTATCACAATTAAGAACATGTCTTGAAAATAAAATTTTAACCGAATAATAAACACATGTACAAATAATCCATGTAAGAAAAGTTTCATACACATGTAGAAAATAAGACATTTATATTCCAGAATATTATGCATCTTAATTACTTTTAAAATAACAATAAACAGAAAGCTCACAAGTTTATCCAGTGTCAATCCCTCATATTATAGTGTATCATGCAAAAAATCACTTTACAGTCCCAAGGTATTCCATACTCATTACTTCCATGCTTATAGTGAATAAGTAAAAATAGCAAGACAAATTGAGATAAGGGGAAATTAAGAAGTGGCTAGTCACAAAATTAAGTTGCAGCAAAGGTCACCAGTTATCTCAAGAATAATAAGATAATGTATTAGACCAAGAAGAAGCTATTACCCTGGCAATGCCATCAAGAATTTCGACACCCATTACAATGGGATCCTTCTTATTGAAAATACACTCAGGTACAATCTTGATAACACAGGGAAAGACTGCTTCCTCTGCAACCTCTTTCTTCTTTTCCTCCTTGAGATTATCAATATAGGCTTTGAATTGATCAAACAAATGATAAATAATATCGGCACAAAAAATTTTGACACCAAGTTCTTCTGAAAGCTCGCGAGCTTCAGGTGTGACTTTAACATCAAAAGCCAATATTGTTGCATACTCTTTCTTCTTTTCAAGCATGACACTGGCCTTCATGACATCCTTTTTGTGTACAGGGCCTATGCCAATGCCACTAACTGGTATGCTAACTTCAGGAGTCTTCAGGAACTCAAGCAAAGCTTCTAATGATCCAAGGGTAGATGCTTGAACATAAACCCCCTCCCCACTCTTGTCAATCCTGCTCATCACTGACCTCATATCTTCCATAGCTGATTCTAAGATGTCATCCAAATCATCATCAGGCCCCACAACATATAGACTAGTGCCTGCAATAGCATGTTCAAGGCCCTGCACAAGAATTCACCACAAGCAAAGAAAAACAAGAATAAACTTCAAGTAACAGCACTGCGCGTAAGCAAACCACTTGTACATAAAGGCATAGTTCCTTAACAGAAAAATTACCACATCCAGGCATAGTTCCACTGGTAATCTTTCTGTAATCATGCTCAAAGCATTGGGTTTTTTTTTAACAATTAAGAAAGAGAGTTGCTTTTCTCTTTATGTTTTCAATCATATATAATGCTCTCAACCATCCCACCCTCCCGACCTACTTGGCCCCCACCAACCCACCTGTATACATTACGACAGCTCCCCTCATGTACCCTACCCTACATCTATCGAGTAAACCTCAGATTCACCATGAGAGGACTACATCCGATTTCACTTATCCCAATCCCTTATTTCACCCCATCAAGATGGCCTACCCCACATTTCTTGACCAACCCACATCCACCTCAGTTACATTGATCCCACATAACCATTCACACTTACCCCGAAGTATTCCCTCTCACTCCAACCCCTCTTCTGACTCTTTATGTATCCACTACATGCCCCCACTCTAATGTATCCACTACATTGATCCCACACAACCATTCACACTTACCCCGAAGTATTCCCTCTCACTCCAACCCCTCTTTTGACTCTTTATGTATCCACTACATGCCCCCACTCTAATGTACAACACTAGCACCACCTCCTTCAGCATACCCACTTAACGCCACCTTAAGTTGGTTCCCGCCTGCCCAACCTAACTACATTTCATCTAATCTAATCGCTGTGCACTCAATGAATGCATCACAGTCAAAATATGATAATCAAGAAGAGTGCAGAATATAATTTATCCAATCAAATCATCCTTCCATCTTCTACAGATCTCCACATTTCTTTTACCATTTTGGCAACCTCAAAGTATTGCCAACTTACTTTTTTAAATAAAATGTGTCAAGAATTACTCAAAAGCATTAGAGTTATAAATGGTGACAGTTCATGTTTTTATTAGACTTATAGGTGAAGGGTGTGTCCGAAGAATAAAAAAGGAAACTGAGAGGATTCAATTTTTCATCTTTCAGCACATCTCCAACACTTTGATGACAAAATGTTCAAACTAGAGCCAATTAAATCTTTGTCACTCCTGCTGCAACCATGACTCCTTTCAATAGCCTATACAGTGGTTTTAAAATATTTGGTAGAAAGGAAATTTTTGCTACTACGATCTAGATTAGCATTCAGTTGGCATAACATCTACACTGGGTATTACCTGTCCAGTAATCTTTATACCCTGTGCTGCCTTGATTTCTTTATGATGCAAATATGTACCCTGCAGCCAAAATAGATACAGCCTTGATAGGATTAGATACCCATGCAACACAGAAGCCACAAAACTTTAAATGCATCCTTTCATTTGACATTTCTATGTATGTTTATGACATAGAGATCTATATCCTTAATCCTAAACTATTTTGTGTTTTTGGTACCTCCTGCCTGCAGAGAGGCAAGTAAGTGATTCACTGGGTTAAACTGAAAGTTACTAATGAGTAATGAGCATGCATACATCTAATTGATCTCCAAAAATCATAACACTATGAAACAAAAACCTGAGTCAAAACCCGTTAATGACATGCAACAAAATTGATTAGCAAGTGATAATAATAATAATAAAATATATGACAAAAAATGCAATAACAAGACTTAAGAATAATTGCCACCAACCTTCACTCGGAGCTCTTTCATTGGGTGAGGGGTCAGTAATGCTCGAATTGAGGTTGCAATAGGTCCCTACAAACAAAGAAGAGGTTAAACAGGAAACATACGGCATGGAAACCATTTCCAACTGCAGACCAAATATAATATCAAGTCTACCTGCATGCCACAAACAACTATTTGATCTCCTTCATGAAGCACACCATTAACTAGTACCACATCAATTGTTGTCCCATGGCCTTCAATAACCTTTACTTCCAACACAGTACACTGCCAAATGGGGGAAAACATTCAGAACTGCACATTCCAAATATTTAAGTAACTCAAAGAAGATATGTGAGGAAAGCATACCTGGACTTCATTGCTAAATGTAAGTCTCTCAACCATTGTCTTTTGAGTCCATTGGACCAGTAATAACAATAAGTCAGGAATACCTTCACCACTGTTAATTCAGGTCCAGAACATCAGGACAATGAAAAGGGGGGAAATATCAAGAAAAAATGCACAAATAAATTTTTTTAATAAAATTATTAAGTGAAATGATTCACGATTAGCAGGAAATCAAGTAAATGGATTCACCTGATAGCACTAGTAGGTACAATGCTGAAGGTATCTTTTCCCATATCTTTATTTTTATAGTACAATTCAGTATTTATTCCTTGCTCTTTGAACTGTGTGACAATCTGTAATTGTAATTTTTTATTGTAAGTTACACAAACTGAAGCATGTTTAGAGGGTTGGTAAGGAGATAATGTTTATACATGACCTGAGTGAGCCTTGTGTTAAATTCAAACTGTACATCTTTATTCTGTTGTTTCATTGCCTTCTGAATAGGTGCATTGCGGCAAACTTTCCATCCATAAAGCCTGTCAACCTGGTTGCAATTTAAAAATAAAACAACCCATACAAATAAAAATAAAACACTAGATATCATCAAGAGTAACCAAGGAAAGGGGAAGATATTATCTAAATGACACTCACCTTATTTAAAGCAACAATAAACTCGGTATTCCTCATCTTCAGCAGATTGAGAGATTCAATGGTCTGTTGCTCTAGTCCATGCATAATGTCCACAACCAAAATTGCAATATCACATAAACCTGAACCTCGAGAACGGAGATTAGTGAAAGACTCATGTCCTGGGGTGTCAATAACCAACAAACCAGGAACCTTCAACGTGGCATCAGCTTTTAGTTCCTTAGTTCTCTCTCTTATATTCTCTGCAGGGAAGTACGTAGCACCAATCTGCTGAGTAATCCCTCCTGCCTCACCTTCTTGGACATTAGTGCCTCGTATGCAATCAAGAAGCTTGGTTTTACCAGTGTCAACATGACCCATAATACAGCAAATGGGAGAACGAAGGTTTGTTTCACTCTGGTCAGGCAGTTCAACAGGTTTTTGTGCTCCCCTTGCTCCCTTTCCTTTGAGCTTACTCTCAGACTCTGGCTCCCTCTTCTTACTATCCTCATTTTTAGTTACAACTGGTGCAGTTACAGGAGCTTGCTTGGAACCCACTGATGGAGCCCCTGAATTGCGAGCAGCTGACTGTGCAACCTTTAGCTCTTTTCTGACTACAGCTTTGGGTTCAGCATCTACCTCCTCATCAGCAAATGCACTTTTACCAGGCAGTTTGAGATCAGCATCATCCCAGCTTTTTGCATCCCACTCCTCGTCATCTTCGTCTTCTTCAATTCCATTTTCCTCAGCATCAGCAACTTCTGACTTCTCCTCTGTATTAATTGATTCTACCTCATCAACCTTCTCAGTGTCCACAGAATCAACCTCAGAGACAATTTCATGCTGAGTTTCCTTCACTTCTGTGATTTCATTTGTCGCAGCTGCAGGTTTCTCATTTCCATGAGATGGCCTTGACTTCTTTGTTTGGTACTTAGGCCGTTTTGTTCCCTCCTTACCAGTCTCCCCGGTAGGGATTGGTAAACCCCCAGCATTGGCAAGTATTTGCTTTCTCATTAATTCCAATCTGCGAGCTTCTTCTTTCTGTTTTCCTGTTAGCAACTTCCCCTCTTGTTTCTTCTTCAAAAGTTTCTCCTTCTCCCTCTCCTTTTTTAAGCGTTTCTTTTCCTCTGCAAGCCTTTCTAACTCTTCTTGCCGACGACGTTCTTCTTCTTCCTTCCTTAGCCTTTCTTCCTCTTCCTTCTTCTTCTTTTCCTCAGCTTCCTTAAGTCTGGCAAGTCTCTCTTGCATCTCCCTGACATGTTTAGGGACTTTCTTATCAGCCACTTTACCTTTGCTTTCAATTTTCACTTCTTCCTGCTTTTCCTCTATCACAGGTGCAGCTGCTGCTGCTGCAGCTGCCTTTTTCTCCTTTTCTTTCTCCTTCTTCTTTTTCTTCTTCTTTGCAGCTGCAGACTCCACCACCCCCTCTGTTGTTTCCTTCTCAGCAGTATCTTCTCCTGCTTCCGGCTGATCTTTTTCCTCTTGTGAAGAGGGAGCAGGGGCATGAGAGGGTACAGGTTTTGATGATGGCTGTCCTTCACCCAGTTCAGCCAGAATTTTGTCAATTTCATCCTCCTCTTCAGCTGTTTTGCCACCCTTCTTTTTCTTAGTTTTATCTTTTGGTTCAGGTTGTACCTGTAATTTCTCTTCAGGGGGAGGTACACTAGGGGCAGAAGCAGGATTAGCTGGTCCTTCACCGAGCTCTGCTAGAATCTTGTCAATCTCATCCTGCTCTTCTTGAACTGTTTTTCCACCCTTCTTTTTCTTTGACTTAGCCTTCGAAGTTCCAGACACATCATCTCTAACCTGCGTTTTGTTTTTTGTTTCTTCAGCTTCTCTATTACTATCAGCTAGGCTTGGTTTTTCAGAGTCAATTGCATCCAATGAATCATCTCTGGCCTCGTTGTCAAGCATATTCAATGCAGTTTTGTTCTTCTTTTTAGATGACTTCTTTTTACCAGAAAACATAATCTCAGACATATCATCATCCTGAGCAGTGGCATCCTCTTCAAATACACCAGTATCCAGTTTAGAATCACTGACATCCTCATCATTTTCTTCATTTAAATGGAGTGAATTGCTCTTTTTGGAGGATTTAGAAGATTTCTTTTTCTTTCCTGTGAAGGTAATAGGAGGAACTTCATCATTTTCCTCCTTACTTAAGTCTGAACTCTGCTCCAAATCATCAAGACCATCAAAAGCAGATGCAGCAAACACACTTCCACCTGCTTTCTTACTAGATTTTGATGGCTTCTTCCCTGTGAAGGCGATAGAAGGAATTTCATTATCTTCATCTTTAGTAGCATCATCACTATCCCCTACTTGATCAAGTCCATCAAAAGTAGATGGTGCGAAAACACTTCGACCTGCATTCTTACTTGGCTTTGAGGGTTTCTTCTTCCCTGTGAAGGAAATTACTGGCTCCTCTTCATTATCAGACTGCAGCTCATTATCTGAGTCGTTTTCATCAAATTCATCACCACCAATTGCATCAAATGCAGAGGTAGTGAACTTGTTTGCAGCACCCTTTTTTGACTTTGATTTCTTCTTTCCAGTAAATGAAATAACATTCTCACTCTCTTCCTCACTATCACCACCCCCTCCATCCCCATCTTTGGTCACACTCGACCTCTCATCATCATTATCGTCACTGCCAAGTAATGCAAACTTGGCGGCAGCCATACTGTCAGCCTTCTTCCCCTTGGGCTTCTTTTTACCAGTAAACTGACTCATCAAAGCATCATCGTTCTCCACTTCATCAGAATCTTTCATAATATTTTTTTCCTCAGCTTCATCCTCATCATCATTATCTTTGGCACCAGATTTCTTCCCCTTTTTACCTTTCTTCTTACCACCTGCTGGGGCAGGTGCTAGTTTCTCTTCTGGCTCTTCGGATAACTCTGTCCCAACAGAATACTCATCGTCATCAATCACAAGTTTCTTTTTACCTCTCTTCCTATCGCCCACCGGTGCTGGTGCTGCTTTCTCATCCTGAACAATAGGCTCTTCAGAAAGCTCAGTCCCAACAGAATACTCATCATCATCAATCATAAAGTTCTTTTTCTTTGCCTTTCCACCCCCACCCCCCTGAACAGCAGTGGTGTTTCCATCCTCCCGTGGAGTTGGCTTCTTCTTCCCCATTGAAGTGTCCCTTGCGGATTCGACAGATTATCAGTCCAGTAGAATTTTACCAATCAAAACTGGACTTTAAACCCTAGTTCATAGAAACCAATTCAGAATCGGAATCCCAAGAATAAGCAAAATAACAGGGAATAAACCAAATAACGAAACTCACAAGATGAACTGCAAACAAAATCTGTACAACTAGATCTGCAATACAATCATATATCTACAAACACTAACACCAATCTCCATAGACAGATTGTAAAAAGCAATTAATAAACGAGCAGAATAACGCTCTCCTATACAATATTGCACATACACATTCTACACAAAATACAACCACGCATAGTCATAGAAATTCGAGAAAGAGGTGGAGGTACCTGCGGCAAGGGGCGGAGAGTAAACAATCGGAGGAATAACCGATAGGTTATACGTATAATTATGTGTATGTGCGTCTGCGTTTCTGGATTATATAATTATAACCGATATATAGAGATTCACAGATTTTAGTTTCAGTTTATGCAAAAGAAAAGAGTGTTTTGATTGAGTTGCAGAGCAGAAGGAATGAGGCAGATGATGATGATGAAGAACTGGGAAATAAAGAAGCTAAATATTAATAAACGAGCATAAGAGGGTTTCTCTGGGAGTTATTGGACTGGACCGAAGTGCAGGCCCATTTGTGTATATTCCTTTATCTTCACACTTTTCAGAGAGTTTTTTACTCCGTATCAAATAAGATCGTTTTAAAACTTATTTTCTGGTAGTTTTTGCTTATATGTAGAACTCTTTTCAAAATAAAAATTTTAAAAATTAAACTTTTTAATACTATTTATATGTATATTTTCTATTTTCTATACTATCTATCAAAAAATTGTTGTTAATAAAATATATTATTTTGTACTTTCCTATATTATAAAATATAAAATAGTGTAATACAATTCTTAATATAATATATTGTTTCCTATTTTCCTATTCGTACTATAATTCTACATTAAAATTCCTATTTGTGATACAATAGGACAATCTATCTATATATCTTACTTTCCTATTCGTACTATAATTCTATGTTAAAATTTCTATTCTAATATATAAAATATATAAAATAGGGTAATACAATTTTTAATAGAATATATTGTTTCCTACTCGTACTATAATTCTACATTAAAATTTATATTTGTAATAGAATAGGACAATCTATCTATATATCTATATATTATTCCCGCCCAAATCCTAAAAAATCTCGCTTTCTAATAAAATATATTGTTTTTTACTTTTCTATTCGTACTATAATTCTAGGTTAAAATTCTTATTCTAATATTATTATAAAATATAAAATAGCATAATACAATTCTTAATAGAATATATTGTTTACTACTTTCATATTCGTACTATAATTCTACATTAAAATTTCTATTCGTGATACAATAGGACAATCTATCTATATATTATTAAATGTAAAATCGTCCTTCTAGCATTTTCCGGCCCAAACTCATTCTATTGGTCAAATTATTTAATTATGATAAACTATGGAATAATTAATGATTGTAATAGAAATTCTAGAAGAATATAGAATATTTAATTATGGTTATATTATTATTGTGCTTCACAGAGAATACAATAATATTTAATTATGGTTATATTATTATTGTGCCTCACAGAGAATACAATAATATTTAATTATGGTTATATTATTATTGTGCCTCACGGTCATTATAAACTAATATAACAAAACTATATACAAAATAAAATTTAAAAAAAAAAAAAAACAAAAAAACAAAACAAATGAGAGCCACGGGCTCCCATTTGTAAATGATATGAGATATTTTTGATCACACATTGAAAATGTTTGAAAAAGGGAGCTCTTGAGCTCCTCTATATAAGAGGAGCAATGATCTTCTTCCAAACACAATTGCTTGCCCTTCAACGTGGGCAAGTATTGAGAAGTCAAAATACTCTTATTTAAGAAACATTAGCTTAATGGCTTCTTATTTTAGTTTTTTTTTTTTTCATAAAATATTTTTCTTTTTAATGTTCGGTTGCACAGCAGAAAATTGTCTAAAATAAAATATTATTATTATTATTATTATTATTATTATTATTATTATTATTATTATTATATATTATATTATTATATTATATTATATATGTAATATGTAATAATCTATACTATATATATAAATAAACAAAATCCTAAACTTTAAATTCCCGCTTGTTTTCTACTTTCCTATTCGTACAATTTTCCTATTCGTACAATAGTTTTAGGTTAAAATTCATATTCTAATATTATAAAATAATTCCTACTGCCGCTGGTGAGACTCGATCCCTAGTCATTCTTCCAAAGTTTCACCTCTATGACCAAGTGAGACTCGATCCCTAGTCATTCTTCCAAAGTTTCACCTCTATGACCAATTGAGCTACCCATATGGGCTAAAATTCCTATTCTTAATAATACAATAGGACAATATATATATATATATATATATATATATATATATATATATATATATATATATATATATATATAAGTAAAATCCTTCTTCTAGTATTTTTTTTTCTGCATTTTGATATTGGATCATTTTGATCCAATATAAAAAATGTTTGGAAAGATGAGCTTTTGAGCTCCTCTAAGCATTGTTCCTCTTCCAAACATAATTGATTGCCCACCAACGGGAGCAAGTATTGAGAAGCCAAAATGCTTTTATTTAAAAAGTCTTAGCTTAATGACTTTTTATTTTGTTTTTTTTTTTTCAGAAAATATTTTTCTTTTTAGTGTTTGGCTACACAACAAAAAATTGTCTATAAGAAAATTTATTATTATTATTATTATTATTATTATGTAATACTATAATAATAAAATAACGATAATAATAATAATCAAAACAAAAAAAAAAAACAATAAAAAACAAAGGAGAGCCACACTGGCGGCCCTTTATAAATGGTATGGAATCATATTGATCCCACATCGAAAATGTTTGAAAAAATGAACTCTTGAGCTCCTTTATATAAGAGGATCATATGGCTTCTTATTTTAGTCTTTTTTTTTTAAGAAAATATTTTTCTTTTTAATATTCGATTGTACGCAGAAAATCGTCTAAAAGAAAATTTATATTATTATTATTATGTAATAATTTATGTAATAATAAAATAAAATTATAATAATAATAATATTAATCATATAATAATAATCAAAACAAAACTATGTGCAAAATAAAATCTATACTTCTATAATATATATATATATATATATATATATATATATATATATATATATATATAATATTAAAAAAAATCCTGAACTTTAAATTCCCGCCCAATTCCTAAAAAATCTCACTTTCTAATAAAATATATTATTTTCTACTTTCCTATTTGTACTATAATTCTAGGTTAAAATTCATATTCTAATATTATAAAACAGTGCAATACAATTCATAATATAATATATTGTTTACTACTTTCCTATTCGTACTATAATTCTACATTAAAATTCATCGTAATACAATAGAACAATATATCATATCTGGCACTACAAATACTCCCTGCGTAAATATATTATATTTGGCACTACAAATACTAAATGCGTATCTCTTTGAATGCACAAAAAAATCTCTCACTACAAATACAAGAAACGAATCCTGAACTTTGTTATTTGCTTTTCATTATTTATAAATAAACTAATTTGTTATTTTTTGTTTTTTTTTTTGGTTAAATTTTGTAAGTCAATATATACTAATATGGATATCTAATAGATTGATGCCACAAATTAAAGCCAATATATATGTACTCAGAAAGAGAAAATGAAAATTCAACGAATTTTTTTTTTTCCAATTCATTATATATTATTTAATTTTCATATAAAATTTTGTTACTAAGCTTTATTAATTTTTTACCAAATAATTAATATTCATATTAGTACAGATTAGTGTACGGTAAGTAATATATTAGAATCTCATTTGTATTACAAAATTATTAATAGGAGAAAATTTCAATTTTGGTCCACTGACTATTTGGGTTGTGTTAATTGCAACACTTGACTTTCAAAAATGTTTATTTAGTACCTTGACTATGCAATTTCTATCAATTTTGGTCACGCCGGCCAAATTACCGGCCAAATCCCACCGGAAAAATTTAATAGGTCAATTTATGAGGGTATTTTAGTAATTTTACTCCTCCTTTTTCTTCTCCGATGAGCTTTTCCATTTCCGGCGAGTTTCTTCTCCATTTCCGGCGATGTTCTTCAGCCGGCGCTGTCAGAAACTACAGTCGGTTTTGTGTTGGCCAGATCAAGTGCACTTTATTAATTGTATTGCTGTGCTGCAAATGCTATCTTTTAGAATTGTTATTTGAATTGGGTTTTGTGTTGGTTTTAAAACACCGGAAACTAGGATAGATCTAGAAGAACCACCGGCCAAAAGATAGTTCTGGAAGGATTAAGACTTCGTTTAGGCGTATGGTACGAGGAATTCGATCCCCAAATTCAGATATTATTGACAGCACTAATATATACAGTCGCCGGAAATGGAAAAGCTCATCGGAGAAGAAAAAGGAGGAGTAAAATTACTAAAATAGCCTCATAAATTGACCTATTAAAATTTTCCGGTGAGATTTGGCCGGCGTGACCAAAATTGATAGAAATTGCATAGTCAAGGTATTAAATAAACATTTTTGAAAGTCAAGTGTTGCAATTAACACAACCCCAATAGTCAGTGTACCAAAATTGAAATTTTCTCTTATTAATAGTATATATTGACTACAATTTTATATGAAAATTAACTAATATATATTAGAATTTCGTTGAAATTTTCCATATCATTAATTAACTAATTCTTTCTTCAATTCATTAAAATCTCAATGAAATTCTTTTTTCATATCATCAATTAACTAATTCTTTTTCCAATTCATTAGATATTAGTTAATTTTCATGTAAAATTTTGTTAACAATTAAGCTTTATTACTTTTTTTTTTCCCAATTAATTAATATTCATATTAGTATAGATTAGTGTACGGTAACTAATTTATATTATCAGCCTCCAATCTATTTATTCGACTTTGTTATTTGCTTATCATTATTATAAACACATTTGTTAATTTTTATTTTGTTTCTTTTTTGGACTATGAAGAGTTGATCTATCGGATTCGGATAAGAAACAGTTCACTCTGGTGGAGTTGGATAACTTGCTATCTTTGTGGGGGAAGAGCCTTAAGGACTTTTCAGAAATGTCAATTTCATACGAAAGCAACATGGGTTTAATGGAAAACATGTTGATAGCCGAAGAGTTGGCGTATGACAAGGACTCGTTGAAGATAGAGCATGAAATGTTGGTAACACAATTGACGGACGAGCAAAATAATGTTTATGACTATGTGATGAATGATATTGATTCTAATGGAGGTGGATTGTTCTTTGTATATGGTTAAGGAGGAACAGGCAAGACATTCGTGTGGAGAACGTTATCCTCAAAGATAAGAAGTCGCGGAGATATTGTTCTCAATGTTGCTTCAAGTGGAATGGCATCTTTGCTCTTACCGGGAGGCAGGACGACGCATTTCAGATTTGCTATACCACTCTCATTGAATGAAGATTCCACATGCAATATATCGCAAGGCAGTGACCTTGCCGAGCTTATAATAAAGAGCAAACTGATAATATGGGACGAAGCACCAATGATGCACAAACACCGTTTTGTGGCTTTGGACAAAACCATGAGTGATATATTGAGGTTTGCCATACATGGTAGTGCTGAAAAGACATTTGGTGGAAAGAAGGTAGTTTTGGCGCGGTGATTTTAGATAGATCCTTCCAGTTATTCCAAAAGCAACGAGACCAGTAGTTATTAGAGCAACTATTAATTCTTCATACCTCTGGACAAATGCAGGGTATTGAGGCTCACGAAGAACTTGAGATTACGAAGCTTAGCTTCAGATGAAGATAAACAGACGGTTAATTGGTTTTCAAAATGGATTGCAGACATCGAAGGTGAGATTACAGGGGTTGTAAACGACGGTTTGTCTGAGATCGATATTCCAGTACAGTTTCTATTGAAGTGTAGACCTGATCTCATAGCAACTATAGTGGAAAACGCCTTCCCAAGCGCGAGATATGGCATGCTTGATGAGTCGCACCTAGAAGGCCGAGCGATCCTCTCACCGACTTTAGATGTCGTTGATCAAATTAATCAGTACATGTGCGACATGAATACTGCAGAAGGTCGAACGCATTTAAGTTGTGACTCTTTGTGTAAGGCAGAATCAGACGATGAAAATCTATCAGAAGTACAAACTACTGAATTCTTAAATAGTTTGACACGACTCATCATCACAAGATTAGCTGATCACATTGTCGAAGCAATAATAGTTAATAGGACACATCAAGGAACCAAAGTTCTTATCTCCCGAATGTCTCTCACTCATTCTGATACGAGATTGCATATGCCATAACTATCAACAAAAGTCAAGGCCAAACACTAACTCACGTTGGGTTATTGTTAAAAAACCGATCTTTAATCACGGACAATTGTACGTGGCTTTCTCCCGAGTCATCCATCCTGATGGTCTTAAGTGTTAGCTCTAGACAATGATGCACAAGATTGTGTTGCGACTACCGATGTTGTCTACGGAGAGATTTTCAATAATGCGTAAATACAATCGATGATATTATGTATTTTTTTTTTCAAAATGATATAATTGCTATATATATAGACAAAAAATATATCTTCTATACAAATGAATTATGATAGTAATTATATCATTAATAAAACAAATCCGTTCCGTGCAACGCACGGATAAAAATACTAGTTTTAAATAATAATGTGTTAGTTTTTTATATATTATTTTACTCTATATATATATATATATATATATATATATATATATATATATATATATATATATATATACACACACACACACACACACACACACACACATGTTTTAGACTTTTAGTATGATTAGATTATTTTTAATTAAGAATAATGTTTAAATTGGGAACGTAACTTGAAAGTGCAATTAGGTCACTGAATGAAAAAAAAAATGTAATTAAGCTAATGAACACTTCAAATTATGCAATTTCACGTGATAGCAGTTTATCATCCATTTCATCGAAGCCACCTGTGCTGCACAGTTTCGTGCCAAAAATTAGCATAGGTTCTCAACATCACGACATGAACGCCGGCGACATCGAAAGAGTATAACAAGTTGGAGTCAGAGCTGATTTCCTCGTACGTACGACATGTGCCATCTTGCATTGTAGGCGGTTGTATGGACGTTTGGGACGATTTCATACTCAGGTGGGAGACGAAGGAGGAAGGGAAGGGATGACTGACGAATGTCCGTAATTTTTTTTTTTTTATTTTATAATTTATTATTAAAATGTCAACTCACCATCCATGTAACTAGGCAACATGATGAAATTAATGATATCCTATTATTACGTAAATTTACATACATTTGAAGTGTTTAAGGATCTAATTACACATTTTCAATAATATAATAACATTTTAATGTTATGTTCAGTGACAAATTTAGACTTTATTCATTTTATAATTATCTCTGTAGTAAGTAATACGGAGTAATTTGGAATATATTTATTGTCAAAATTGGAGGTTGAAAAGAATTATTAAGAAAGAGTTAAGAATGTTGACGGCAATAACATATGTCCACCGAAAAGGCTTCGTGTAGTTTATGATTTGTGGATAGATTGGGACGGTCCAGCTTGGACCGATGCGGCGCGGCGCGCCTACCATAATGCAAGATACAAAATAAGTGTATGGATCACGGTCTAAAATGACGTTATTTTGATATTAAAAGATGTTTATTTTATGTGTGTATCAGAATAATGAATATTTTAGTGTAAAATAATATATTTTATGAATTAAAACAATGTATTTTATGTGGTAGAATAATATACTTTATATGTGTTAGAATAAGATCGAGCAACCTCATTTGTTGTGATTTTGTTGATTTAAAAAAAAAAAAAAACAAAAACAAAACAAACAACAACATTTACAAGCCAAGCCTGGCACGTACAGTGCAGCACCAAGTTGGGGGCACATAGGTGCATGGAACGCGCCCTGGCCCCACAAAAAAAATTTGATTTGTAAGGATTAAAATCGTGAAAACTCATGCTCCACATTAGTCCAAAAACCATGTTATATATTTTATTATTTGTAAAAAACTAAGAAAAAACAACTATTATGGTTGCTCTAATAAAATTTCTAGAACAATTTACTTTATGTGTTAGAATCATGTATTTCATTTGAGTTAGAGTAATGTATAATGTATTTTATGTGTTAGAATAATGAAATTTATGAGGTAAAATAATATATTTTATGAGTTCGAATAATATACTTTATGTACTATAATGTATTATATAAATTAGAATAATATTTGGCCCTATTTGGTAAAATAGTAATTTATCAGCCAATTTTAACTTATTTGACCACTATTAACTATTTGATTTGGTTAAAAAATCAATTTCAAAATGCTAAAATTCAAAATGTTGCTGAAAGCAGACTTTTTAATTAGCTTTTTGAGATAATAAATTATACCAAACAGTTAACAGCAAATAGTTAATTTACCAAACACTTTCATACAATCAGCTAATGTTAATAATTAGTTATCCCCTCTAATTAATTTAATCAACTAACGACCAACTAACAACTATTTATCAAACAAGACCTTTATGTATTTTTGAATCATGATGCACAAAATTGTATAAACTATGATACATACATGCAATAATGATTGAATGCACCTGCATGGGCAGCTCAATTGATCACAGAGGTGAAATTTTGGAAGAATGACCAGGGATCGAGTCTCAGGAGCAACCTCTCAAAGTAAGGGGGGTTCCTTATGCGCAGTGAGCACAGAGGACGGGGGTTCCTTATGCGCAGTGAGCACAGAGGACGGGGTTCCTTTGGAAGAATAATAATTGAATGCAAGAAAGACCAAAATTCCATAAATGCCTTTATACAATTAGACGGAAGGCAAAAAAGATCAATCGTTATGCTGTGCATCCATATGCACCATGCATGGTGCATACGGATGCCAAAACGACGTCGTTTTATTAAAAAACGCGCGTCTCCCCTAAAAAAGAATTCAGGTTCGATTCCCAGCAACAACATTATATTGTTCATTCATTCTGGAATTTTAGTTCATAGATTATGGAATTATAGTTCATTGATTATGGAATTATAGTTCATCGATTATGGAATTGTAGTTCATCGATTCTGAAATTTTAGTTTATAGATTATGGAATTTTAGTTCATTCATTCTGAAATTTTTAGTTCATTCATTCTGAAATTTTTAGTTCATAGATTAGATTATGGAATTATAGTTCATCGATTATGGAATTTTTTTTTTTTTAAAGAGGAGACGCACATTTTATTAAAACGACGTCGTTTTTGCATCCGTATGCACCATGCATGGTGCATACGGATGCACAGCATAATTTAGGCATCTAAATTCTAATGACTTAGTTGCCCAATAGTTTTTGAATGGTTCTCAACCGTACCCCTCCACCGCCCGCCGTCCCCCGAGACAATAAAAAATGTCGTCTTCATGCACTAGGCTTATCCACATTGCCTTAAACGAGCCATGATTAGACATATTATTTAACCATACTTCTATAGATTTTTTTATTTTTTATTTTTTGACAAATAAATCCGTATTTACTATTTAATTATGTACATTAAATAAATTCTGTTTATTATAATAAACTCGAATCGTCATAAGAGATAAATCAAACTAACAAACTATACAAAAAAAAATAAATTGAATTAGAAAAATGCTATATGACGAATTCAACCAATAAAGTATTTCTATAAAATTTTTAATGTGATTGATTATAAATTTTATAGAATAATTTATATATATTTTTTACTTTTAATTTGTTTTAGTTAGTAAAGAGCACATAAATTGATTGGGATGCTCATTCAATTACGGAGTAATAATTATCTTAAATTTGTAAAATGTATTGATTGTTAATCAAATTAAAATTCATTATTTCAAATTAATCGAATAAAAAAAAATTCAGTTAGGATGTGTTTGATTGACAAGTTTAGCTATAAAGAATGGGTATCAAAGTCATTGATATCGTTTGATTGATAAGTTTTTAAAATATTACTATGGATTTTAAATACCCCTTAATTAAAAAACTCACACTCAAATAAAATAAGGGTATCATTCCCTTATTTCTTCTCATCCCATTTGATTAGTGTTTTTAGATTTTTATTTTATTTTTGTTTATATTGGTGTTTTGGATATTTGTATATTAAAATCAATTGTCGTTATTTTGTGTTATTGTACTTTTTAAAATCTTTATTCTTATTATATTATCATACATAACCAAACAACATTATTTGATAATCATTCACATTCCACCCTATTACCAAACATACAAAATACTTTCATTAAAATCTATTATTTTTAGTAAGTATCTGATACCTATTATGATTCATTATTTGATAATCATTCACATTCCACCCTACTACCAAACATACAAAATACTTTCATTAAAATATATTATCTTTAGTAAGTATCTGATATCCATTATGATTCCAATTCTCATGTGCTAATCAAATACACCTTTAATTGGTTTGAACTAGTGTTAATCAAACTTTTAACAAATTTGTACCACAATGGAATATGTAGGACGAAAATAAGCAATCAAAGCAAAGAATATGGATATAGCTAATCGCATAATCCTACCTTACTTCGCTGTGTTTTCTTCCTATCAATACACGTTGGGGTTGATCCATTCTCTTGCATTATTGTCATTGACTCATGGTTCAATTATTGCCATCATTTTTTTTTTTTTTATTTATATCAAACTTGTAGTACAAAATATTCTTAATATAATTTTTTTGTTTAAATAATTTGCAAACTATTATAAAAGTGGATATACTTTTGAGTAGGTGCTGCGTGTCATCTAAAAAAATTTGTCAATTGTCACTTGAAAAACACTAGAATGCGCTTTACTTGTCACATTAAACTATAATTATTCTTTTTTTTTTTCACATTTTATTTATTATCTTTCTCGGTAATAATTATATATGTACTTTGAATTCCTACTCATATATTTTATTCCATATATGATTTGACATACTTTAATTGTTCAATTTTATAAGGGATCGATCATGATATTTATTTATTTTTCATTTCTTCCAAACAAATTTGAACACAAATAAAAATAAAATTTGAGAGTAAATTTTTGAAAGCACATAAAGTATTTTTCTTCAGTCACACCTTCAAAACGTTTCTAGAATGGCAGAATCTATGTATATTATAGATGATCTTAGTAGTAATAATGTTTCCACCGGGAACCCCACAACCTTAAGGGGTGCTTGGGTGGATGGAAATCAAATTCCATGGAAAAGATTTTTCATGAAATGTAGGAAAATGTTGTTTTACCTTGTTTGGTTTGATGGAAAATCTTTTTCATGGGAATTTGACTTCCCAAAGGTGAAGGAAAAGAAAATCCTACCTAAACATTGATATTTTGTTTTCCAAATGAGTTGGGAAGAAAATATAGTAATATTAGACTATTTTGCCATCATCAAAATTTATTAACTACACATGTATAAATTATTATTAAGGGCATATTGATCTTTATATTCATAATTCCTTACCATTCCAAACTCAACCAAACAATAGAATTAAGGGAAAATGACACTTCTTCCCCCTAAGTTAGATACTTATAGCACTTTCTCCCCATGAATTATTCAAGTGGTTGTTTTCCCCTTGAAATGTTAAATGGACATATTTACCCTTAAAATAAATATTTAAAATAAATATTTCATTTATTTTCCTTCTCCAACAAATTATGACAATAATTTGGTTCAAACTAAACAAACACTATAGCAACCAAACCGAAATATTCCAATTACAATTTAGAATCGAAACTCGATATTTAGAGTTTATTAAAATTGCGAACCAAAACGGACGATTCATGTTCTGAACTGAAAAAATAAAATACATTTATTGTTTAATTTAGACTATTTAAAATAAAAAAAATAAAATTTTAAAATAAAGACGGTTCAAAATCGCGAATCGGATCCAGAACTGCCGATTTACGGTTCAAGATCTAATTTTTTTATTCATAATTTTAATAAATTGAAATCCAAATATTAGGTTCTAGATCTGAATCATAACCGGAAACTTTTAATTCAATTGCTATAGTGTCCGGTTCAGTTTGATCTGAACCGTGGTCATCCTTACGTATACGCGATAATTTGTTGGAGAAGTAAAATAAATAAAATGTTTACTTTATAAGGGTAAAAATGTCAATTTAATATATCAGGTGAAAAACCACCACTTTTATATAATTGAGGGGGTTAATATGCTTACTTAAATAATTGAGGGAAAAAATGACTATATAACTCAGGAAAAAAAACATCATTTTTTCTAAAATTAATATTCCCAATAATTTCTTTTACCCTGTTCAAACAATAGAATTTATTTTCCCAGTAATTTATTTTCCATAGAATATAAATTCCATGTCACTTCAAATATTTTTTCCGTAAGTCCTTAATCATGCCTCTATATATGTATATATTTGAATAAATACGATGCAACTCGTGAATTTGTTTCTGTAATTCAGCTCCAAAGTAGAAGCATTATCGGCGCCTTTTTTTTTTTTTTTTTTTCGATCTCAATACTATCCTCTCACGCTGTCATCAATACTCGGTTTCCCCCATTATTTGTCAACTCTGGGCATTACTTATTTGTTTAGCATTGATTGGATTCGACCGGAGAAGGGGTATTTCATCGATGGTGGCGGTCTCAAGGTTTCGATGTTTCATGTCTTGAATTCCTAGTTTGAGGGAGGGAGAGAGAAAGGTACTGATTTGATTGATACTATTAAAGAAATTTTCAGAAAGCACTGCTTTATAGATCTGTTCTGTAGGCTTTCTCCCACTTTTAGCTTTCTCCGGTCGTATAATCATTTCGGGAAAAGAGCAGAATAAGGACAAAAAGCTAGTGGGTGACTTTGTTCTTGTTGGTTATAAGTATTATGTTTATATCATTGTCATATAGTTGTTTTAGTTATTAAATATAGGATTGAGTTGATGTTTCCTGTTTGTTTTCTTCGAAAGTTCATTGCTTTTTGAAGCTGAAATGATTTGAGGGGATTGGATATTTGGATTAGAGTGCTTTTGAAGTTGAAAAGTGGATTGGATTAGAGTGCTTTTGAAGTTGAAGTGGATTGGATTTGATTGCTTGTGAAGTTGAAGTGGATTGGATTAGAGTGCTTTTGAAGTTGAAGTGGATTGGATTAGATTGCTTTTGAAGTTGAAGTGGATTGGATCATTGGATTTTGCCAGTGTATGGGAGGGTGAATTCTGTGGATCAGGTAGAGGGTTGGGGGCTGGATTGTGAGAACTTTGTAAGGGTGTTATTAAGAAGGGCGTGACGGATCCCAACACAGAAAACAAGTGGTGGTGCTATTGTGTTCCTGTTCTGGAGTGCTTATTGGATATAGTTAGGGCCCTCCAATTGGGGTCCTGCTTGTCTTTGGAAAGCAGGACCCCTGGACCTAGTTCTCCCATGTCTGCCTTTGGGATTAGGAAGAGTTGGAGCTCTGAGCAGAGCCCAGGGTCCCAGAACTCTCCCTTTGACTATAGGAAGAAAGAGCGGTTGCATAGGATTCCCGGCCGCTTATACCTAAATGGCTCCAGTGAGGTGGCTTCGCTCTTCACTCAGCAAGGCAAGAAAGGGCCCAATCAAGATGCTATGATTGTTTGGGAGGTGAAATTCTTTCATTTACACCTTGTTGTGCTTTACACTGTCACCAGGCCAGGTTTACCCGGTACACACCCTCAGATAGTGGCTGCGGGTTCTAAATACATCTTTGTCTATCATATCAGGTTTATTAGTGCATTACTTGGAATCACCTTCTTTGTTGTGTGGGTACCGGTGACTATCACTGCTGCCATCCTTAGTTTATGTTCAACTCTACATGATCTGTATGTTTATGATACTTATGCTGTTTGTCTGTTACAGAATTATATCTGTTAGGAGGCAAATTAACCAACAATTTGTACTAATTGCATGCAATTTCTTTGCCTTCATAGGATTAAAATAATTTTCAGTTGCTTCATTAAATTGTCCATTGCAGTTGTAAAGTTTTAATTCATTATCCTTTCCAGTTTACTTTTGAACTATTAGCCTAATTTGAGAAACGGTCTGTCCTTGTTTTTACCTCATGTATAACCAAGGTTCAGCTTAGAAAGACATCTTCATATTCTTTCTATTTTATTTGTACTATCTTCTGATATTGGGACTCAATTACGGTTATAATTTGGATGATTGATGACTCTCTTACTTCCTCCCAGCTGTCCATTCTTTGATGTGCTTACAATTTAATGAACTGCACCTGGCCAAACGCATCTCAATTCTCAAATTCTTTTCAGCCCCGAAATTGCTATTATATCGATTGAATTTGGTTGTGCATATAATCATCCTGTTTTCTGTTCTGTATGCTTTCTATTTCTATTGTGAATTTAGTGCAGTTTTCCTGTGAAAAGAGCATCTCATTGATTCTTTATACCGTTAAACTTCCAGAATTTCGGTTCAAGAAGAGACACAGTTTTCTGTGGTGTTTTCGACGGTCATGGTTCCCATGGTCATATGGTCGCAAAAAGAGTGAGAGATGATCTTCCCTTGAAATTAAGTGCACACTGGGAAGTTAGAGTTAAAACTGAGGATGTCCTTCTTAGAGAGACCAGTGTAAATACAAGTGGCATAGACACCGAGGATGCTTCTTTTATTTATGCAGATGAGGAGCCAAGGGCATCCATTGGTGTTGAAGAAATCGAAAAATACCCAGATATCTTCCAGACAGTGAAGGAATCATTTTTGAAAGCTTTCAAGGTCATGGATAGGGAGCTGAAAACATACACCAATATGAATTGCAACTTCAGTGGGACAACAGCTGTAACTCTTTTGAAACAGGTACTTTGTCAAACAAAATAATTTGAGGTTAGGGCAACCCCGGGTCAGGTTCCCGTGCGGCGTGCGGTCACGCACCATTAGGTACGCATAAATGCACCATAAAGTGTCCGAAAATGCACCATTAGGTGTGGTGCATTTGTGCATTTCATTCTGATGCATTTCCGAACACTGTGTGGTGCATTTATGCATACCTAATGGTGCAATCCGCACGAGAAGCCTTGTCCTCGTTTGAACCAGTATCGGGCAACCCCAACCAAGTTGGTCAGACTGTTGGCTTGATGACCACAAAACCAGAGTTCGACTCTCAGGGCCTATTGGCCTTCTTGGTTTTAGCTGGTCAGCTATGAGCGATCTAGGATGGTTTACCTCTTTGTGGTCCTTTGCTGGCTATGGTCAGAAGGCGGGGTTTACCCAGGGCGCACATTCGGACAATGGCTGCGGGTTTCCCTCGTCACTAAAAAAAAAATTTGTTTTTTCTATCTTATTATGCTTGAGAAAACAATTTGTGACTATTACTTTTCCAGGGCCAGAATCTTGTAATTGCGAATGTTGGAGATTCTAGAGCTGTATTGGGTACAAGAGATAATGAAAATTCTCTTACTGCTGTACAATTGACTGTGGATCTCAAACCTAATCTTCCAGGTATATGTGTGTGTGTGTGTGTGTGTGTGTGTTGTTGCCTGCATGGTGTGAACTGGAATGAATTTGAAATTCATGGACAGTCACTATTTTCTCAGTGTGCTTGTATTGTATGTAGTTAGAGATTGACATCTTCTTTTCTAGAACGTTTAAGGTCATTTATGGTTGTGGTCATGCTTGGTAAAACTTATGATTATGGATTGGCCCGATAACTATGGCACTTTAAAGAATACGAATTGTTCTGTAGTTTGCTCAATGCCATTGATTAAATTCTCACTCTCAGCTAACCAAATATTGGTCTAACAACAGAACAATTGAAGCATGTGCTCCATCTCAACTAAAAGCCTAAGCTGATAGTTGGATTGCACGGTTTATGTTTATATATATTTTGTGCTCAACAAGAACATACCTATAACCCTTTCAAAAGTAACTACTTAATTACTTTGAATCTTTACCTATTTGATCTGACAGTGGAAGCAGAGAGGATTCGTAAGTGTAAAGGGCGTGTATTTGCTCTTCGCGAGGAACCCGAGGTTGCAAGAGTGTGGCTACCAAATACCAACTTCCCTGGTCTTGCCATGTCACGTGCTCTTGGAGATTTTTGCCTAAAGGGTTTCGGTGTCATATCCGTGCCAGAAGTTTCATATAGACGCCTAACGGAGAAAGATGAATTTATCGTCTTGGCAACAGACGGGGTATTGAAACTCGAAAGATTCTTGCATTACTTGCATTATTGATCCTTACGTTTCTGTTTTTTCTTTTCCCTTTACTGCTACGTATTACACTCACTAATGGAATCACGGGAATCGCAGATCTGGGACGTGCTTTGTAACGAAGAGGTCGTAAAGATTGTGGCTTCGGCCCCTACACGTTCATCCGCAGCAAAAACGCTCGTTGAAGCAGCGGTTAGAGGGTGGAAGACCAAATACCCGACTTCCAGAACAGATGATTGTGCAGTGGTCTGCCTCTTTCTTAAAGGTTTCTCAGTGGGAGAGAATGAAGTTAACGGTGAGAAGGTGGATGCATCTACTATTCCAGCAGAAATGAATGGTTCCGACGCCACTGGAAATGACGAAAATGCCCTCGGGGCCGAAAGCAACAAAGAACAGGGGAAAAAAGACTGGTCTTCATCACTTTAGGTTTGTTCTGCACAAAATCTCTTTTTCTTTTTATGAGATGTGTTCCCAGCTGTATTAGTGTGTGGGGATCCTTCTCTCTCTAGCGTGGGTAGAATTGGAATTTTGTAAAATCCTACTTGCCATTTGCTTTGATTCTTTCATGTGATTGATGTGTTTCTTGTGTTGTAATATTGGTGGATTTTTTAATTATTTTTTTTGAATGATGCGGGAAATCGCAGTTATTATCCGGAAAGGGTACTATTTCGTTAGTTCATGTGTATTAGTTCTGCAAATTCAACGGTGGCACTAAAAGAAGAAAAAAAATGTCACAACTAGAAGAGAAGAAGAGTCTTATCAAGTAATCTCACATTTTATTGAAAAAATATATATATATATATATATATTCATCTCTATGATTGTCATAATTAAAATAATACTAGTAATAATAATAATGCCAAATGAAAATAAGTAGAATTGGAAGATATATAGAATGAACCTTACCTAAACCCTAAACCCTAAACCCCAAATGCTAAACCTTAAATCCTAAACCCTAAAAATTGCATTTTATTAAATATGTTATCATGGCATTCACCTTATACATATAACCCATGTAAGAGTTATTCGGTGATAAAATTTTAAAAAATAAATAAATAGTCTTTGTTGCTCCCAATTCAATTATGCTAAGCATATATATTTAATTCAGAACGTGTTCTAGGTAACACCTTTTGAGTATGTTTGAATTTCATAAATTTGTTATTGGTGTCATTTGTGCTAGACTTGTCATACGTGCTTAAAAGAAAATTTGAATATAATAAATTAGTGAAGAAGTTAAAATTTACTCCGTACTTTTTTTTTTTTTTTTTTTTTTTTGGAAATACTAGTAGTTCAACCATGACAACATAAATTATGAACCTTCATCTTGTTCAAAATTGAACTCCCACGCTTATTGCACTTATGTTGCACGTTAAATAACACATGACCACAAGATGTTTCATTTCATTGCTATCATTATTGTGAATAAAATACTAGTAATAATAATAATAATATCAAATGAAAATAAACAAAAATAGAAGATAGAAAAACTCTTATCAAATATTGCATTTTATTAAATATGTTATCATGCCACCTCCCTTGCGATTCAAGCAATGTGAAAATAACACCTCCCTTGCTTGTCCAAAACGGCAAAACCAATTATTCCATCAGAAGATTCATGAGCTGTGCTTAATATAATGCACCCACAAGCAACTATATTGCATTTTATTTCATAAGACGATGCAAGATAAGAGATGAAATGTTCTCAGGAATTCGATCTAATAAGCAAGAAAAATGAGAACATTTTATTCTCATCTATGAAATGGAAGTTGGAAAATAGAGATAGGACTAACGTAACCCAACGCCAGGCAAATTGTATTCAATATAAAATATGAAAAAACTCATTTGCATCTTTTATTATATGCTTATATCAGTTTTAAACTTAAAGAAATTGAATTCAAAATTTTAGGTTATGGAGGTGTAGGGAATTGAACCCTGTGCCTCTCGCATGCGAAGCGAGCACTCTACCATATGAGCTACACCCCCATTAACAATAATGAAGTGGATATTCTCTTAATGACACAATTTTAAGGCTGATAGGAATTTCTTGTCAAAAACGTAAGTCGCAAATGAGTTTCTTAAAAATTCAAAATAATTTTTTTTTTTTTTTTTTTGCTAAAATGCGACAAAACGCATTTGGGAATCCATTTCTCATGTCTGACCCATGAGCAAGTTCATGATTAAGTGATTAACCAGCGATGAATGAGAAACGCATGTGGGACATGCGTTTGTCTCTATTTTAATGAAAAAATCATTTTGAATTTTTTAGAAACTCATTTGCCACTTGTGTTTCTGACAAGAAACTCAAGTTGTAAATGAGTTTTTCCCTATTTTGTATAACTTTTAAAAAGTGTCATATTTTATCTCTTCGATCTTCCACAAAATGGCACATTTCAATCATTCTTTCATTTTTTAGTTCCATGCACCTATCAGGAAGTCGACGGCCAGCACCAGGCATTCGGTTGTGGGGCCTCAACTCGCTCGATCAGGTTGGTGCGATCGAGCTCTCATGTCCGCCATACTTATCCATCTTTGTTTTTCCTAATTCATTTTTCATATTGAACCGCTCCAACATATAAATGTTTATGTTTTGAAAAATAATCAAAGATTTGAAGTTATTTTTGGCACATAAGATGAGATTGAAAAATTGTCAAAGATTATAATCTATTTTTAGCACATAATTATAAGATGAGATTGAAAATTTGTCAATGATCAGATCTGAAACTATTTTTAGCGCATAAAATGAGATTGAAAATTGTCAAAGATTAGAATCTATTTTTAGCACATAATAAGATGAGATTGAAAAATTGCCAAAGATTTGAAGCTATGTGCTAGATGAGATTGAAAAATTGCCAAAGATTTGAAGCTATTTTTAGCACATAAGATGAGATTGAAAATTTGTCAAAGATTTGAAGCTATTTTTAACACATAATCTGAATGGGTAACACTTGTATGGGACCGCCTCACAGGTCTCAATCCGTAAAATGGATGAGTCGCATATTTGATTAATGAGTCAAATCTTTGACCTCATTAATTAAAGATCCAACTCGTATCCGTGAGACGATCTCACACAAGTTTTTGCCAAAATTTGTAATTATTTGTTGCAGATTGCACGGATGAGATAATAATAATAATAAATATTGCATTTTATTAAATATGTTATCATGACATTCACTATATACATGAGTTAATATCATCCAAAGTCCTTCGAGTATAGTAATTTTGCCACATTTAGTCCTAAAGTTTCAAATTGACCATATGTAGTCCTTTGACTTTCAAATTTAACCATTCCTGGTCCAAATTAACCACCTATGGTCCTTCAACTATTAAATTTTAACCAACCATAACCCTTTCAAGATGATCACAACTGGTTAAATTTTAAAACTTGAAAGACCATGAGTAGTTAACTTGGACCATGAGTAATTAACTTGGACCATGAATGGTTAAATTTAAAAGTCAAAGGTCCACAAATGATAAATTTGAAAGTTTGGAGGACCTCAAACGGTATTAACTCCTATATACATCTATAATGACAACTTTTGTCGTCTTATATCGTCAAGATATTACATACAAAAATGTAAATTATGAAAAAGAATATAAAAATAATTCTTTTTCTTGTTCTCAAATCGGATGATGACGCCCTATGATGGGCACCCAAAGTGTACACATTGCCCGTGCCTTCATCTTTTACCTTGATGCTGGAAGAGCCTGAAATTCACACAACTTTTTTACTTGAACAAATTTCTAATTTTCACATAAAACTCAGAAATTTAAATGAAAGAAAGTAGATGCATATTGAACAAAAAGAAGACAGCCTATGGGGAGGGGAACAGATCACTGAGAAGAAAGTGGAACAAGTACAACAATAAACCATACTCACAGTCATGTTCCGTCCACCCGAGGGTTTGGCTTTCGAGATCATACACGAATAACTTGTTAGAGAGCGCAACATCTGCAGCCATCAAAAATGAAGCTTATGTCAGTACACTATCCACACAACTCGTTTCATCACTATTTCATTAGTTTTAGGCACGACTATGACAACCTGCAGTTTACGTCGTTTGCACTTAATTTTACAGGGATATGATATATAGTGCACAAACTCGGGTGAAAGGTGTTCAAATGCAAAGTTAAAGAATGATAAATAGGTTTAAGGTTCATTATCACTTCTTTTGTAAAGAGAGTTTCTGAAACAAAAATCTTCAAAATGGCCCCCGTTCAGGTATTGCAGTCCATACATGGCGGGATGATGAAGGGAAAAGCAGGGGAATCATATTACGATCTCAAGGACTGAAGGAGAGCTGAAGTATTTCTACTATGATATAGTTATTCACGCGCTTCAACAAAGAGAATAATAACCATACCTCCCAACAATGTCATTCCCTTAGACAGCAAAGCAATGCATTGTACACCAGGCTGCTGTGAAAATTAAACCAATCAAAAAACAAAATTTTCAATTAGTAACCAAAAAAAAAAAATTGTTAACATTTCAATTAGGTGAAGTAAGAATTGCTTTACACAAACGGGAAAGTTTGAAATGAAATCACAACTGGAATTACGATACTCATCTAGCTCAGAAGTTCAGATTACTTACATCAAATGAGAGAAGGTAATCATGAGGATACAACGTCAAATTCAGAGAACCCATAAAATTAAGGGTTACAACTGGGAATCCTTCATCAACACTGCAAAGCCAATGGAAAATTGGATGAGAAAAAAAGGTAACAGGATTGGCAGAAAAACACATAATGAAATAACAAAACAACGCAAAATATATATTTTTCTTCTTCCAAATATGATGATTGAACCTAGTTACCTAGACCTCTTATATGGGGTAATCTAAGTCACTGGAGAACAAGCCAACAAGGTCCGCCCAAGACTATCAAATACATTGGCAAGCAATGATGTATTGATTTGTGCTTACTATGATGTCCCACAATGGTTGGAGATCAAGATTGTAACCGCAATATAAGATTGGACTCAAAGGCTTATTTGCAACAAAGGATTAAGAAATGTGCAATAATTTTGGCCACTATATTCCATTGGGGCTTAAAGACCTATATGCAACCAAGGCTAATATAAATTTGGACAATTCAATTATATATCCAACTTCTGTAGAATGGAAGTTGGAGCTAAACAGAGCCAAATAAAGAGAGGAATCTTACTTTCCATGGTAGTCAAAGCATTTGAACCCGTTAATAAAACTAGTTTTAAGTCCAGGTTGCTTTTCCAGCATCTGGAGCAACAAAAACACATAAATAAAGGCATCATAAATCGATAAAGAAAAAGTCTGCATCTGTGAATCTCTAAAAAAGATTCCAAAATGATAAACAATATACAAAATATGTTGCGTACCTTGTGTACGAGAGGATCATAGATCCAACCACTAAAATAGGCGAAGGTTGCGCCACTGTCAATTATAGTCTCTACGCCACCATAAAATTGAGTGTCTAGAGCAACACCGCCAACTTCAATTGACTTCAAAATAACAGTGTAATGGCGCCTAAGAAATTAACAAACAATAAGACTCTGCATAAACCCAATGCAAATAGAGAAGAAACTTTCAGAGTTGAAGGATCATACTATGCAAAAAAAAACAAACACAACTATAGCAAAAGAATTTCCTAAACAACAATAAAAAATTTAAGACTGAAAGACAACAAGTACAGTGTGAAGTCTAATTGAGAAGTGGTGAACTTGAAAGCAAGTAGTTTAAACATAGGTGCTATCTCAAGTGCTACAGATGTTCTAGTTCAATGAATCAATGATGTGGACCACATAAAAAACAGGGCAACACCTTAATCCATGACAAAAGACAGGAGAGAAAACAATACCGATTTGGTTCGAGTGGTGTTGAATTTACTTTAGGCTGAACTACTTGCCCTATAGCAAGTATGCCACCTCCATTGCGATTCAAACAATGTGAAAATATCTTTTTCACCTTTCTCTGTGCCGTTAGCTGAGAAATAAAGGATGAATTTGCTTGTCCAAAACCAATTATCCCATCAGAAGATTCATCATCTGTGCTTAGCAACCCAGATACTTCAGATGAACACCTATCTTGGACAAAAGAAACATATTCAAATGCATTACATACGATTATTAGGGAATGAAATCAAAGCAATCTACATCAGAAGCACAAGGAAAGATATAGAAAAACATGTAAACAATAAATGTGTCTATGTATTATAAGGCGAAGCCCTGTTTATGCAAAAGATAAAGCAAACTGGAAATCCTCAACAGAAATTCAAATGTCAAGATGATGACCAAACAATTTTCTTCACTAAGCCCCTGGTCAATAAAGAGAGAAAATGGAAGTGCTAAGGTCAGCAATTATATTATACATTTAAAAATATAAAAAAATTAAAAAAAAAAAAATTTAAAAAACACAAAGAAGCTAAAGCTGGAAAAATAATTTCAATTTGTTTTCCATTGGAAAGCTAGCAGAAATCATAACCAGTGTTGCAAAACTTGGCCCAGGCGCTAGTCGCCTACTTAGTTGTGTGTGTGTGTGTGTGTGTGTTTTAGGTTTGTTTTGCTCAAAACAATGTAGTTTTAAGCGAAACAAATCTAAAATCGATGGGGCAAACATCGCAAAGCAGCAAATAAAATATTAAGCTTCCAAATCACCAGATCGAGCAGAAATGGAGAAACCTAAGAGTCTGAGTCAAACTATCGGTGACGCCATAGCCCAGTCGCAGCCCTTCACCTTTCTCTGGCCAACCATCACAGCCAATTGATGGATCGAGACACGATGATACCATTGAAACACGATGACACCCATCGCTGCAGCTCGCCATCGCCGCTTAGAAGGAAGCCGCCGCACTTCGATGTTCCTCCTTTGTCGGTCTAGGGTTTTTCCGTTTTCCTTTTGGCTTTTGCACAATGTGCATTAGGAATTTAGGTTTTATATAGACATATAGTGTATTTAATATTTTAACTACGTATTAATTTTTTTAAACGGACAGATAATCCCCGTTCGCTCCGGGAGGCACGGGAGCTGGCCCAAGGAGAATCGTCACTTGTGGAAATCGAACCTGGGTTATCCCGGAATTCTCCCCCACAAAGAGAGCTCATTTGCCACTAGAGCTACCCCGTTGGGTTAACTACGTATTAATTATTGATTGTTATTAAACTTGCCAATAAATTGATTAAATTCAATAATTCATCGTGTGGTGCTATAGTCTATAATTCTATACTGCTATGGAAGGCTACGCTTTGAAAAAAAAATATTAAAATTTAAATGAAGGCAAGAAAAGGATCAAATAGCCCTCCAACTATGACCTTTAAATGAAGGCAAGAAAAGGGTCAAATAGCCTCCAACTATGAACTATATACCAAAATGCAATAGGCCCTCAAACTAATTTTCAATTGAAAATAAAAAATAAAAAATTGTGTGCTATAGTTTATAACTCTATACTGCTGTGGGCGGCTAAGCTCTGGAAAAAAAATTGTTACAATTTTTAATGAAAGCGAAAAAAAGAGGGTCAAAGCCTTGCAACTATGAACTATATACCAAAATGCAATTAAGCCCTTGAACTAAAAAAAGTTCCAATTGAACTTCTAAACTTAAAAAAACGGTGCAATTAAAACCCAATTTGACTGATGTTAACATCAAGTTACCCGTCACATAGGATGCTACCTCATATATTTATCCTATTTAGTATCCACATAAGAAGCCAACTCATCATCTTCCTCAAAATTACTTTTATAAAAGAAAAAATTAAATAACTGCCATGACATCGAAGAAGTTGGCTGGTCTGATCTGGACACAGAAGCCATGGCCAGCTTCTTTGTCCAATTTGACGGAGAAGCCAGTCAACTTTTCCAAAAGATTTTTTTTTTTTTTAATTTTGAATAAGGATGTCACACCAGCCTTAGATGCCATGTAAGCAAATTTTAACTGGCTACCTTTCGGTAACATGTTAAAAATGCTAATTCCACTATTTTACAAGCTTAAGGGTTCAGAATATTTATAAAAAAAAATCTGTTTTTTTTTTTACTTACAAAATGTAATTGTAAAAAAGAAGGCAAGCAGCAAGATGGAGTCATGGAGCATACAACAAGATCTAGAAAATTGAAATTATGCACTCAACATAATTTTTCATTAATGTAATGGTACTTTATATAAAATAGTTGCCAAATATGATTGTAAGATATATAAAAGTGAAATTATGCACACAACTTCATTTACATTAATGTAATGAGACATTAAACAAAATAGTTTGCAAATATGATTTTATTTTCCAGAGCCCAATTTTATCCTTATTTACGCCTCCTTTATCTACTCAACAAATGCACCAGCATCCCTCAAGGAACCCAACTTTTTGGCATGAAGATGGATTATGTTCAATTACTTTCTTGCCTGTTTTATAAGTGTTTATATATATGTATAGATGTAAGCTTTGATAAAGAGAGAAGGGTTTGGATGAAAAAGTTCAAAAACCATGAAGGCAAACCTAAGGATGTCAGAAGAATGAAGAGACAGAGAAGATTGTACACCAATTTCTAAAGGACTCATTCATTGGAACAGATTGGGAAATTGATTTACCATTCCCTTAGCAAAAATGGATGAATTGATGAAAAGATACATTTATATTTCCTTTCCTTTTTGAAGTAAAACAAAGCAATAAATTCAAAACCAGATTTTTCAATGAGTATTATATACCCTCAATGAGCTTAAAAATTACTCAACTTGAACTCCGTCTCAATTGCAATATGCGTGTGTGCCCATGCGTGCATGCATGCACAAGCAACTATTGCATTTTACTTCATAAGATGCAACAGATAAAATGGCTCAGGAATTCTAATAAGCAAGAAAACTAAAAACCTTAATTCTCAACTACAAAATGGAAGTTCAATGATTTCCTTCTCTATCCCCCCTTTTCGGTAGATTTGGAAAAACCATTTTGAAATTTTTTGAAGTTATTAGGCACTTAGAAGAATAAGTCATCACTAGCTATGAACCAAACAACACCTTTTACTCTGTGTGTGTTTTTCATCCAGGAAACAATTCCATCACATGTCACAAACACATACGTATTTAATTTGGAAAGAACAATAGTCAATAAAATCAATAGTACTGCATACTTACCCAAACACAATGGTCCCGCCAACAGATGCAGTTTGAAGGTTTCCAGTCACTTGATCAATATGAACATAATCGTGAACATAGGATCCAACTGTTCTGCTTCCTTCCCCATAAGAAATCTCAAATGCACAGTGCCGACTAGTGCCACAAGTTTGATATTGTTTAGTGTACAATGTATAACAAAAATCTCGGTAACAATTAACCCAATATCCAGTCGAAGAGGCCTTTATATCATACTGCACCAAATCTATCTGTTAAAAGTTAAAACACAAGACAAAACATTTATTGAGGGGTTAAAAATACAGAATAATGAGCAATAAAAAAGTATATAAATGTAATACAGAATAAGAGATGCACCCCTAGGCTGCTCTCTTTCGGACAGCTGTCACAGCCAGCACAATGCACCCATGGTATGTCACTCCCGGTATCAACAAAGACATTATAGGCCTTTGGAGGAGTACCAATCATAAGCTTGGTATAGTGGAGTCTGCAATAATTTAAACAGGAAACCCAAATAATCACACAAACGCTATTGCAAATTCCAAAATACAAGTCTTTCTCTGCACTTGGAATTAACTAGAAATCAAGCCCAAGGTAGATAGGGATATATATATATATATATATATATATATATATATATATATATATATATATATATATATATATATATCTCTTAGATCATGAATTACAAAGGATTGAGCTGTTAACAATGTATTGCATATAAACAATAAGCCAACATAATTACAGAGTTTTCGCTTCCATTATTCCCTAAGTGCAATGCAAAATCAACAGAAAAATAAGTAAAGTTTGCAACCTTCACATTCTTTTTTATTTTCAACAGTTTAACAAGCACTCAACATTCGAACATACACAAACACAGAAATCCAGAGAGGACTAACCCAACGCCAGTGGATTTTGTAGTTCCACCTATAGGGAAGTCGACGGCGCCAAGCATTCGGCCGTGACGGCGTAGGTCGTGGGCCCTCAAATCGCTCAGGTTGGAGCCCTCACGCCCGCCATACTTATGGTGCAAGTTCAGCACCATGTTGTTGGAATATCCATACCCCAACAAGCACAAAACCAATAGCAGTACACACTGGAGCTTCATTGCTATTTGCTACACAATTTCTTTCAATTCCCTGCAATTTACAATTTCCTTCAACTCTGCAATTTCCCAAACCAAAACCGATGTATATATACACACAGCCAAAAAAAAAAAAAAAAAAAAAAACTCTCAGGACCTGGGCTGTTTCGGCACGAAACCCTTTACGGTGGAGTGGAATGCTTAGGGGCGAAGCAATTGAATGACACAACACGGAACGAAAAGCGATGATGAGGAAAAAGAAGAAGGAAATCGGGGAGATAAGAAGAAAATCGGTGAGTCGGTGAAGAAGTAAGAATGGAATCGGTGAGAAATAAGACGAAAAATCGGAGAAAACGAAGCAAAAAATCGGCGAGAAAGAAAGAGAAGAAGATAACGATGAGCGAAGCCATTTGCAGATAGAGACAAAGCCAGTGATGATGCTCACTCCCGCCATGGCTCTTCTCTTCTCTTCTCTTCTGCAACGTACGCAGAACACAGAATGGAGACTTCCGACTACTATTTTTAGTTAATTACCACTTCCCCCACCCCGCCCGGGCATGTATTTGTAAATATGATGATAAAATAACAGGTTAAATTTAGTCTTTATATTTTTATTTTGTTCAATTTAATTCTTATATTTTTAAAAGTAGTACAATTAATAACAATAGTTAATGATGTTAATATTATCGTTATTTTTATTTTTTCAATATCATAAATCATATTTATTAGCAATTATTGTTTCTTTTATGACGCGAATTTTAAAATATAATAAAATATTACTATTTTGAAAATTCATGGCCTATATTTAGAAAACAAAAAATGTTGTAAAACATTATTCTATTTCAAATTTTCATTTTAAAATCATAAAATGTATTTATAACAATTTTTTAATTTAAATATTACAAATTTGAAAATAGAAACACAAATGAACAAACCACCATAATTGACTATCATAACTTCAATCTATGGACTTGCCTAGTTCAACTCAATTACTCAGTGATTTTTTTTTATTTTTATTTTTTGAAAACCATAGTGATTTATTTATATGACTCAAAAGTTAAAATCTAAGAATTCTTTGATTTAGGAAAAAATTTGTAACTGCTACTTGAAAGTGCGTTATTAGTGAAATTCTTTATGTGAAATTAGCTCATAAAATATCAATGAGGTAAATCAACTTTGGTTTTTTATAATTAATATACTCAAAACGATAATGTCAATGTGTACTATATATCACATAAAGTCGATATTAAAAAAATCAAATAATTCTAAATGTTAAAAGAATGCAATATCGAAACTATATCCTAACAATTATTATTTGGAAAGCAAGCATTTCACATCTAGTTCCCAAGTTGTTATGTAATACTCATATTTTATTAAAAAAATAAAGTATAGTCTAAATATAGAGTGCTATCTGTTATTACGTACTATTCATATTTTATTTTAAAATAGTCTAAATTCAAAAATAAATATATTTTGTTTTTTTCAGTTCGGAATCGGCCGTTCCGGTACGCGATTTTAATAAACTCTAAATATCGGGTTTCGATTCTAAATTGTAATTGGAATATTTTGGGTTGGTTGCTATAGTGTCTGTTTGGTTTGAACCAAATTGTGGTCATAATTTGTTGGAGAAGACAAATAAATGAAAATTGTATTTTAAGGGTAAATATGTCCATTTAACATTTCAGGGGAAAACAGCCACTTAAATGATTCAGGGGCGAAAAGTGTTATAAGTATATAACTCATGGTGAAAAGTGTTATTTTCCTTTTGAATTATTTATTGTCAATTGACATCAATTATAGCAATTGTCATTAACAAACTTTTAAAACAATTTGTCTCAACAACGAATGGAAATAAAACAAAAAATCATTGATTTCATTATTGTTGATGAAAAGTATGTATGTCACTTTATTACTCTTATTAAATTAAATAGATTAATAGCTATAACAAAAAATAATACATATGCATTTAATTAATTTAGAATAGATGTCTATAATGCCTTTATTTTTTTATTTTTTTAAATATTCATTATACAAAATTTAAAAAGAGATATAATTTCATTAGTTATATTATCTTTATTTTCTACAATTCAAAGATTTCATACATTTAAATTTATTAATTTATTATATTCACTACATTGTCCATTGTCTTATTTTTTTACATTATCTTGTAATTAAATATCAAAGTTATAATACAAAATATGTTATATATATTTATTTACCAAGTATTTTATACAAATATAATAAATATTAATATTTTGTTCAATACTTTCACATGATAATATACGATACACATCTCACAAAACATGAAACATGTAGGAGAAAAACTACCACTACCAAGTACCAAATATCAATAGGTGCTTGTAAGATAGAGTTCATACTACAACTAATATCACAGTAACTCAATTGCACATGACACACTACAAAAAAAAAAGGACATGTACTGAAGATGAAAATAATGATAATGCTACCCAAAAGATAATTAAGAAGAATTAGAGAAATTTAATTCAAAAGTAGTATTTATTTAGACTATCGCTTTTAGACTATGTATTTAGACTACCGTTATTACAAAGTTGCAAACATTTATTTTAGTGACAATTATAATCAATCTCTCATATACTCCATATTATATTGCATTTTTATACATTAAATTATCAATTTAAATAAACAAATTCAACATTTATTTACCTATGCATGAACATCTTCGATATAATATTGCATTAATATACTTTAAAATACTTATTTAAAAATAATTATTAGACATTATCTCATTCGCGTAAAGCGCGTTAAAAAACTAGTGAATAAAAAAGAGTAATTAAAATAATTAAAAACAAATGAAGAGTTTTTAAGACAAAAAATACAATAAAAACATAAACATTAATGCCTAAATAGATTTAGAAACATAAAAATATCTTAAAATAATTTTCTTATTTTAATTTTTCTCAATTTGAATTTTATTAAAATAGCCTTCTTATTTTAATTTTTCTCAAGTTGAATTTTATAATAAAAGCACGAAATATATTTATCAACAACTTCATTTTAAATTTTAAAATGTCATTATTACTTAATATAACTTCAATTCGTTAAAGCAATCTTTTTCGAATGAATCCGTTAAAGAATGCTAAAAAGAGGGGAAAGGGGTGTTTAACATAGCTAAAAAGTATGAGAAATCTATGTTGAAAAGGGGAATAATGTTAAAAACAAATAATAGATTGACTTGATTTACGGAAAAATTTGTTACATTAATGTGCATTTTGAGTGCAGTTGGACTAATTGATCATGTGATCTTAGTCAATAAATGATCACAATTAGGTAAATTAATCTAGGTTGTTTATAGTTAATCGTCTTAAACAAAAAGGCCAATAGATAACTATCCATGAAAAGTATAGTTTAAAACATTCTGGTTACAAAGTTCACAATTCTTATTTTAATTTTTCTCAAGTTGACTTTTATTATAAAGCACGAAATATATTTATCAACAACTTTTTTTCAATTTAAAAATGTCATTATTACTTTATATAACTTCAGTCCGTTAAAGCAATCAATATAACTTCAATCCGTTAAAGAAATCGATATAATTGCAATCAGTTAAAGGAATCCAAATCAATGAAAAGTATATACAGTGATGCATTTATTAATACTAACAATTAAACTAAACATTTATAAATATAAATAGAAACAACTAATAAACTCAATAAACCCTAAAATAAACAATCATAATAGTTTTTTTTTTTTTTTGGTTGGAAATCTTGCTATTTCCGTCCAACTTCCGAGTTGGACGGAAAACGGGAATTATTGGTTGGAAAACGAGCTTCCGTCCAACTTTGACCTGTTGGACTGAAATTCCCACCAACCATTGGAGAAAATTCATATGCTTTAATATCTGAAATTCATTCCAACAGTTGGTCGGAAATTGTGACCAACGATTGGCAGGAAAATCTATATTTATATAAATTATTTTTATTATTTTGATCTTGCTATAATTTTGTTTTAATTTTGTTATAATGTTGTCAATACATTCTATATCATCAACAAAGTAATGTATATTTCCATCTGATCCTACGAGTTTTCAGCTCCTAGAAGTGTCCTTTGTATACAACTGACAAGAAGAAAAATAATATGTGCCCAGTCACTATTTTTCCCCTATTATTATCATATAAAGATATATTAATATCTTAGGCATAGTAACATTCAAGCATAAAAGTGATAAAAAAAATTAACACAAAAAAATAAAATGAATGATGCAAACACAAACAAGTTCATGTAACCATATATACAAGCATGCAACAAAGACTAATAACATAACTAAAAACCTCAACCAGAATTACCACATGAACATATGGTATTCAGCAAACTAATATAACCAAAGAAGCCTATATATTCCAAGTCTCAAATTAGTCAACTTCAAAATTAAACATCACCACTTAGTGTACAAGGCTCCCACAGGAGATAAAATCAAATGTATAGATAGTTGAGAGATTTTACACTGTACAAATAAATCGGCTGCACTAAGCATACAATAAGGCATCAGATATGTCGGGTCATAATAGTATGTAGTTAAGAAAATAAATAAATTAAAGAGTTGTTATGTATTTAAAAAATAAATTAATTAAAGAGTTCTTATATATGTAGTTAAGAAAATAAAAAATAAAATAAAGAGTTGTTATGTACTTTTGTATTAAAAAAAATAATTAAAGACTTCTTATGTTGCTAACTACCATGTATTGTAACAATATATTGGTTACCATTTGAAATGGATGGTTATACGTTCGGACCCTGGTGCATGGTCGGGGCATATGCTAGATTTTATATCCCTACAAGTGTGAGAGAGAGTATTGTAGGGATGTAGAGAAAAATAGTGAATGAATTACAAATTTAGTGATGTGGATATAAGACACACTTTTGAAAGTGAGAGAAAATTTCATTGATAAAGATATCCTTAGATTTTTTGGGTTCAAAATGGCCGAAAAAGTATAGAACAAATACTGTCTACTAAAAAATTATGAATATTTCAAAAAATAAAATTAAAGAGTTATAGGGTCAGTAGAACAGATACTACATTGTAATAGAGTCAATAGCATTCAAAAAAAAAAAAAAAAAAAAACCTACTGAATATGCAAAATAGTTAGGAAAAAACACATAAATTATACTCTTTATTTTGGATCATGAGATGTTTTAAAACATTATTGGATGTGTCATGAGACCGTCTTACAGATCCTTATCTATGAGTATGATCGGATCAATATGAAAAATGTAATACTTATACTGAAAAATATAATACTAATCATAAATAAAGTATTTATTACTTAATACTTATTAGGGTAAGTGTAATGCTTTTTGAGGAAAAATATAGGGGTCGTTTACTTCATTTTTCTGTTTTTCCTTTTCCAGTTTTCTACTAGTATTAGTACAAATGGTTAAACTATGTACTAAAATGGTTAATATATTAGTACTACTACATTAATACTAAATATACAAAAGGTAACAAAAATTGATAAAAATAGAAAACTGTAAAAAAATTCAATACACTAAT